CATTGGATATGTAGCTTAGTGCCTAAGAGTGTTTTGGACTTTGGCAGACAAACCCAAACTGGTTTTAAACCAGAGGACAGGCACCTACTACCCTTTTTTCCCCATCCACTTCCACTATGGGACTGCAGCCATCACTGGGAGTGTCCCATCCAGATTTTATTTACCAGGGAAGTATTCCCACCCCACTACCAGGAGAGTTTGCAGCTAATGGCTTACGCTGCACTGTCTTCTGGGGAATTTCCTTTAGTCAGCAGGAGTTGCCTTACCTGGAGATGCTTAAGAAGTTATGCCCACCATGTTCTCCACTTTCCTTGGGGTTGCCTGTGACTAATGATTGACTGATGTGAGATGAAGGGTTGGGCTGTGGGGTAGCAGCCTAGCATCCTAGTCTCTGGGCAGGACAATCTCTATTATACAATCCATCAACCCATGTTCCAGAGCTTCTCATGGATCAGGCTGAGGCCTGACCTCTCCTTTATCCTGTGTCCCTACTCCCTTGCCCATATCTTCTGCAATCTCCTTCCCAGCAAATGACTTGCCCAAAAATATAGAAATCTGCACCTCAGGCTCTGCTTCTAGGGCATCTGATCTAAGATAGTCAACTGGAAAAAGTGTCTAAATCTCCCTGAATTTCAGAGATGAGAACTCTGAATTTACTTCATAATACTTTCTACATTGCATTTTTTGTTGTCTAATTACTATCTAGCTCCCCACCAGACAGTTTGCTCCCCAGGTAGAAACCAGTGGCTTCACAGTTCTTTACTTGAGGAACTTACCAGTTACTAGTGTTGATTGAAGTCATATTCCTCATTTACCAGTATTTTTGGTGCAGTGGGAAAAATTACTAAAGCTAGATAGACTTGGTTTCCAGCTAGTTGTGGCTGTGTAAGAAACCATCCCAAAATTTGGTGATTTAATGTAACAATCTAGTATCTCTCATAGTTTTCTGTGGGGAGCTTAGAACAGCTGGGCAGGTCTTGTTTGGCTGCTCACCTGGTTGTAGCCAAATGGTGGCTAGTACTGAAGTTGTCTGAAGGTTGGAGTGGGTTGGGGATCCAAGATGGCTCCTCTGATTACATGTTTGATGCCTCAGGTGGGGTGACTGAAACACCTGGGGGCTGCCTAGGCACCATCCTTTCTTTCTCTTTCCATGTGGCCACTTGGGCTTCCTCACAGCATGGCAGACTTGGTGTCATTAGTGGGACTTTGGATATGGCAGCTGGCTTTCCCCAGGGTGAATGTCCCAAAAGACAAAAGCAAAAGTTGCAAGTGATACATAGTGAGACTACTGCCACATTCTATTGTTTCGATGGGGACAGCCCAGATTCAGTGCAGGAAAGGACCACATGAGGAGCTGAATACCACAGGAGGAGTGGTTCACTGTTGGGCCCTCTTTAGGTGCTACACTTGGCTGTTTCTTGACAATAAAATGGCCAGAACACCTGATGAATGGATCTTTGATCATACTTAAAAAGGAGTTTAATACAGGAGTACACTCTCATGAGTCCATTATACTAATGTAAGCTGTCATTATTATAAGTCCTTGGGCCTGCTATGTAATTTCAACTATTTTGACCTAAGGCAATTGACTATATTCAGTCCAATCATTTGATCACATGTGGCAGTGAGTAAGTGATTTTGCCCACACCTTTTGTCCCATAAGTAGAATACAGCCATGGACAATGTGATGCTTTCCCTGTATTTTGTTATAGCCCAACCAAACCATATGAGAAAAAGGTACACTTGGAACGAACTGTAGACTGAGGTCAGCTTGGCAGACTTTGTCTTGTGTAGGCACAAACCCTGGCAGACCTACAGACCTCTTAGATAATTTGTCAAACATGAAAGAGTGTTGCCGAGACTTTTCACACTGCATGCTAAAAGCTGAATATAGCGCTCAAAAAAGGAAGCATGGCAAATTCCATTTCCACTTTCCGTAATTTGGAAGTTCTATCTTTAGTAGCAATTTACATTTTCCACACAATTAAAGACTGTACCTATTCTAATTTACACTTCAAGTATCCAATTCAGCTGTGATTTGCATTTTTTTCTCTATTTATCTGTTTATCTGTTTCCCAGTGAGAAAGCTGGGCTTTGAATCTTGACATTATCACTTAAAACGTGGGTAACACTGGACACACTTGATTAACCATTTCAGAGAGTCAGTTGGCTCATATATTAAATGGGAATAAGATGATATTTAAGGCCGTTATTGTGCATCATACAGGCTCTGAGCACAGCCGGGCACACAGTTGTGCAATACCGGTACATGCGTGCTCATTGTTCTTTTAATGCACTTTCTGTGGGCACATCTAGAGGGTCTGTGAATAGGAATTCACTATAGGTATTAGAACAGTTCTTCAGCTATCACTGTCCATTGTGAATGTCAAGGCCAACACATTCAAAGTCAATGAGATTTTTTTTGTGTGTACCTCTAAAAAAACTTTCATATAAATTCAAGCCATCAACAAACACAGTTTTTGAGACAATTGTCTGGGTGATAAAGATCTTTATGTTTTTCTGAAATATTCAAATAAAGAAGAAAAATAAAAAGAAGAAGACAGGTTGAGCAGTCTCTTTGTTCCTTTCTTCTCTGCACATGACAAATACAGAACAGAGGTAATTTGAACAGAAAAAAAAATTACTAATCATTTGGAAATGTACCCATTTTGGTAAAGAAAGCTCCTGTTTTATAAGGACATTAAAAAGACTATTTTCAATCAGCTGTCATTTCTCTCATTTTTTACAAAATTATGCCTTTAAAATTCAGTTTCTCCCCTCCCCCAATGTATGTCCTACATAGATTCCCTTCCCCACCATGGGGGTTATGGCAATTTTGGGAAAAGAAACTTAAACAAGTTTTCAAATTCAAGAGATATTTTAGCCATGCCCATCTATTTATTAAAATTTAAACTTATTCTCATTTACAATCTTCAAAAGGTAGAAGCATGGTAAGTGTCCTCCAATAGATGACTGAGGAGACAATATTGCACATCCATGCAATGAAGTGTTCTTCACCATGGAAAGGAATGTTGTTCTGATGCATGCCACCACATGGATGCACTTTAAAACCTTATGCTCACTGAAATGAACCAGACACAAAAGGATGGATATTATATGATTCCAATTATATGGCATATTTAGAATGGGAAAATCAGAGACAAAGAGTAAGTTAGAGGTTATCAGGGGCAAGAGAGGGGGAGAGCAGTGAAGAATACTGGTCAGTAAGTACAAAGTTTCTCAGAGATGGGGACCAATATGGTCGGGCTTGTCTTCTCTCAGTTTCTTTCCTATCCAAATCATTCTGTCCTGTCTTCTCTTTTCAAAGTTTGTGTCTTCTGGGCTGTATCCCAAAATCCTAGGATATGTATTCTTGGACGTTCTTTCAATAAATTGCATGAGGCATCTGATGTGTATAAAATAGGGACAAGCAGCTCAGACACAGTCACTGTCCTGGAGGAGCCCACAGTGTGGCTCAGTGGTTGAGTGTTGACCCATGAACCAGGAGGTCACAGTTCGATTTCTGGTCAGGGCACATGCCTAGGTTGCAGGCTTGATCCCCAATAGATCAGGGCATGCAGGAGGCAGACGATCAATGAATCTCTCTCATCATTGATGTTTCTATCTCTCTCTCCATCTCCCTTCCTATCTCTGAAATCAATAGAAACATTTTTTTTTAAAGATAGTGATAATGGTACCTCTTCACTGGGCAATTTGAGAGCTGAATAATTGAACACGTGGAAAACTCTAAGAACTAAACTTGCTTAATTATGTGGTTATTAGATATTCACTATGATTGCTACATCACTTTAACTTAGAGATCAACTCAAATACCACCACCCTAGCAGGGGCTTCCCCTACCCCATAATTTCATATAACTTTCTATTTCCTTTACTCTATTATAGTTTTCTTCAAACAACTGATTATTACCGATGATATATATTTATTTGTAGATGAAATGTGTTTCTTTAAATGTTCTCCCTTATTCCAATTTCATTGTGCCAAATGTAAATTGTTCAATTATTCTATGGGTATTAACTGAGCAACTACTATGTGTCAACCACTGTTCATGGGACTGGTATTGAAGCATTAAATCAGACGACAGAGTTCTTTCTGTCATGAAGTGTTTTGTTTTTTTCTGGTGTTGACTTATTGCTCTTTCCCGCTAGAATCCCATTTCCATGAGAGTTCAGTCTTCAGTTCATTCCTGAATCCCCAGAGCCTAGAACAGTTCCTGGCCCATCCTATCAAAATTTAGCGAGTGAATGGATAGGTCATCTTTTTATTTGGTGCTGGAAATTGACACCAGGGAGAAAAGGAGGACAAGCCTTGAAGATCTCTTACTGACAGAGAAAGGGTGATGGAATGCATCTCATATTTCATCCTCCGGATTCCCTGCGGTCACCTGTGGAACGTGAGACTCAGAGACTTCAAATACCTTCCTCAGGGACACACAGTCAGAGAGGGACAGAATCTGAATCCCAATCCCGCGGCTCCATGCTCTATCTACTGTATCTGTTCAGAACAGCACACACTTACCAATTAGTGACCAGAAGACGTAAGACAGGGTTGGTAAAGACCTCAGTTACACACAAAGTCTCTACACTGTGGGCTCCACCACACACTCCATGTAAAATAGGTGCTTGGATTTCTAATCACCTCGGGGTTTACCCTGAAAAAACAAATCACCTTATAAAAGAAAGAGAAAAAGGTTGGGAGAAAAAAGAGAGGAACAAAGTAGGGCATTTAATTGGCTTTTTGCTCACCTCTGTATGTTATCTTTGGCCAACAAGAGGGCACTTGCTGTTTTTGACCATCCTGGAGGGATTTCTCAATAGTTCCTTGTAAAAGATTCCTATGCATTCCTCAGTGGAGAGCCAAGATCCTCTCCCACCTCTCTCCCATTCACTACAATCCCCCCCAAACCCTTTCCAGAGCCCCAATTCTCTGGAAGGTGGCCAGATGCTTAAACAAACACTATTCTCTTTTCACAGAAATGCAGTCAATTTATACAGGTGGGCAGCTGGAGTCTCTGGTTTAACACTGGGAGCCATAAAGCCCAGCAAGATCTTCCTCTCATCTAAGCTGCTGTTTGGACAAGACAGGCTTGTGAATCTGCTGCACAACATTTCAGTTCATCTATTCGCTGGCTCTGTGGCTTTAAACAAATATCTTCCCCTCTCTGAGCCTCAGATTCCCTTCTGTGATGAAGGTCACAGAACTAGATGATCTTTAAGTTCCTGGTAAGTTCTAACGCATTTTAACTTTTCCTAAGTTAAAAAAAAAGTTTTGTCTTTTCTCCTCTCCATGTTTTTCTCCTTCTCTCCCTCCCTCCCTTCCTCCATTTTCCTCTCTGCCTTTTCCCTTTTTCTTCATTTTTCTTCTCTTTTTCATGTGCCAAGATTTTAAGTAACTGGCTGTTCTAACTGAAAGGAATACCTTAAATGTCTGAAGTTGTTCTGGGCAGAAGCCAGAAAAACAATCTCTTCTGAGCTGTAACCATTTGGCAATGTTATCAGAGGAGAAAACTGAGGATTCCTTTGTGGACATGTTTCCTCTGTCCTGAGAGTCATCTATTTGCCAGTCTCAGGTCTTGGACAGTCTGCCCCTGCATCCTGACAGGTTAGGCAGACGGGTTCAGCAACACAGACCCATTTTCCATTCCACACATGACACTGATATCTGTGTGGTGTGTGAGGTGTGGCTACATCAGGTTGCCAGGGTCTTGAGCTGGGGCCTGGCAAGAGACTGCTAGAGACAACATTGATTTAGGATGTTTTGAAAGCTGTGCCTTATCATTGTAGAAGCAGAGATAGCATTTAAAAGTTTGTTTTCTGAGATTGCATAGAGGACAGAAGGCATGGAAGTGGGGAGCTGAGGGCGCTGGTTTTGGGAGGGGTTTGATGGAATTCTAGGGGGAGCAGCCACACAGACAGTGGGAACAAGTGGCATGGGGGACACCTGTGCTGAAGTCACCTGTCTCTCCGTGGACTTTGTGTGAGCTGGAGACAAGTTTGGAGTTACGAAGTCTTTGAGGTTCTGGGGTGTAGCTATGGCAGAAACCTTAAGTTGTATGAGGCAACCTAAACTTAACCAGATTAACAATTGACAGGTGGTGACAGCAAGCTGATAATTGTGGGCACACAATATATACCTTTTGGGGACCCAGGAAAGAATTGGAACTGAGAGAATGAGAGAAACTGAGGCCTTGCCATCAGGTTGGGGGATTCGATGGCACTATCATTTTTTATTAATTGTACATGTGACCTTGTTTAGACACAGACTCAATGTCTTTGGTGTACTCTGTCTCCTGGAACCGTGACAATGGTTCCTTAGAGGAGGGCAAACTGAGGCTGGGGTTTGAGCAAAGGACTGTCTCATGTTGTGGCCAATGTTCTCCCCATCACGAGGCACTGATTCTGTCTTCCAGTTTGCTCCGCTCTGGCCCTCGTGCAGCCTTTTAACACCCGCACCATCCTACCACATTCTGTACTTGGCTCTCCCTCCATGAGAGCTAGCGGGTCTTTCCTGCTGAAGGCCTTGCCACATTCATTGTATGCAAAACAACACCTAGTATTTGGAATATTTCATGCTTGGTTCTCTTCCTATGAAGAACCTTTGGAGTTTGAAAACCCTTGAGCTCTTGCTCAGAAGTTGGGGAGGGGGCTGGTAGACTTTAAAGGGTGTCAAACGCAGAGGAATATTTTGTGTCTTTGGCAAGCTTGTAATTCAAACAACCTCAAGTTTTGAAATGTCACACTTGCGATGTGCTATAGACAGTCATTAATAATCATGAACGGCTTTTTAGGTTAAGATAAATGGCAGTTAATAAAAGATAGGAACTCCCATATGGACGGCAGGTGAATGACGCTGGAGCCCCGCTCCACAGCGGTAGCTGGACAGTGTGTGCCCTGAGTTCAGGTTTCTGCACTGGCTGTGACCTGCACAGGAGAGTCACCCCATTCGTGCTTGAATGGCTGCCCATTGATGAAAGGCAAGTTTGCTTTTTGGGTTCTGGATTTTGCAAGCTGGGCCCAACTTTACTTCCCTGCCCTCCTTTTCTACTATTCTACATTTTGGGCCACATTTCAAGCCACAGAAGTGCTGGACACAGTAGCGTGGATTCCCAAACAGGTCATAATTTTTTTTATGCCTCTATGACTTGCTCAAAACATTTTCCTCCCTCTTCTACTCAGCAGTGGCCAATGTAATTCTCAGAGCCCAGCTGATACAGCACCTCTGGAATTTGACTTCCCCCGAATCTCACATGATGAGCCGAGGTCTGAGTGATGAGAAGGGGCCAGACCTGTGAAGGGTGGGGAAGATGCTTCTTACCAGAGAGAGAAGTGAGTGTGAGGCCTGAGCTGGGAAAATGTGATAGGAAAGACAGCTCATGTGAGTCCGTAGTCAGGGCCATGGCTATCGCTCTTCTCTGTCTTCTAAACCCCATCCTTGGGACTATCTCTGCAGCCCAGCTGTGCTGAACACACACTCCTGACTTTTTTTTAAATTGATTTCAGAAAGGAAGGGAGAGGGATAGAGAGATAGAAACATCAATGAGAAAGAATCACTGATCGGCTGCCTTCTGCAAACCCCACACTGGGGATCAAGCCTGAAACCCGGGCATGTTCCCTGTCTGTGTATTGAACTGTGGCCTCCTGGTTCATAGGTTGATGCTCAACCACTGAGCACACCGGCCAGGCACTCCTGACTTTTTTTTCTTTTTTTTTAAATCTGGGTACAGAAAACAGCCTGGCAGAAAATTGTAGTGTGTTTTCTCCAAAGGCTATTTGTCTGTGGCTCTGTGGCTGGTTCTGTGGCTGGAAGAACTGGGATGGGAGCCTATACAGAGGTTCAGTGTCTCCCGTCTCTTTCAAGCATCCTCTCCAGCTCTCTGCCAGATGAACAAATGATGCGGGTCCCATAGCTCCTCTCCCCTCTAGTCTGTTTCACATTCCCGGGTTGTGGGTTGTATATTTTTGACTCCACTCAGTCACAGAGCTTGTCAACATCATCCCATCAGGCACCTAAATTCAACATATCGGGCAAGTGAATCTCAGAGAGGTTGAGTTACTCACTTGCGGTCACACAGTCATTCAGTGGCAAGGCTTGGGCTAGGTTACCCTTCCCTAAGCATGGAGCAGATGCTAAACACTGTGAAAGTCACTTCACATAGACTGTCTTTCTCAACGGTCCTAGATGCTAAGGAAAGGAGGTGAGGGAAGGTAACTAAGTGGCTTGGAACAGAAATTTCCAACAAGAAAATCTCTCTTTTCTGCATCTCAAGTTGTCTCTAGATGCGTATGCCTTTCAGAATATACACCCCCTTGTCATAGGCACTTTCAGGGACCCTGAATGATAGATATTGGATTTTGCTTGAATATTTTGCAAGCATCAGACCCATTTGCATGCTACCTGGCACAATGGAATGTACTTTACAACTGGAATCTTTGGGCCAGTAACAATTTCTATAACCGATCAAGTATGAGAAAAACCACACACAAAGCCAGAGGGGCTGGAATCGGAACTCTACCAGACAGGCTTGACCCACAGACCAGATGCAAGCTGGGCATCCTCCCTCATGGTGCCCATGACCTTTGTTCTCCACATTTTGGAAAGTGAGAAACTGAGGGGCACTGTGGTCAAATTTAAGAAATGCCTGAGCAAGGTGAGGAGACTTTTCTTCCAGGACCATAAATCTAGGAGCAGGAGAGATAAAGGTATACTACTGAAAGGTAAAATAATTGATAAGCAAAAATATAGATAACTGCTCAGACACTCTAGAAATATTTTAAGTTAACTGTAATAAAAATGAGTGACTGCTTCACCTATCAAATTATTAAATATTTATATGTATAATCTGCATGCATGTATTGTTTAACACCGATAAGATCAATCAATAGGACATGATCATACAACTTCAAGTTCAAATGGTAAGAACACTCTAGAAAGCAATTGAACAAGATGTATCAAGGTCCTTAACGGTGACTAGAGCCTTTCCCTGACTAATTCTATTGCAATAACTCTCTTGTAAGGAAATGACAATACCTGAAGCAAGGGCTTATGAACAAAGATTGCATTAAAGTGCTATTGTAGTAGTTATACCATAAAAGTGTTACTGAAAGCAATGAAACTGTCTATTAAGACATTATGCTAGATTTTAATACATATAAAATAAAAGATGACTTATTATAAAATATACAGAATGAGAGATCTAGCTTCATATTTTACAAGCATCAGCACCTCTGGCATAAAGTCAGGAACAAAATACTCTCTGTCAATTGATATTGTAAGTTTCTGGGTCAGCAATCATCTATGTAACCGATCTGGCAGTAAACAGGACCACAAACAATGCCAGTGAGGCTGGGACTGAAACATGAGCAGGGTTGACATGGATGACAACATCTTGCTGGCCAAGATGTGGTTATACGCAAATTCTTGCACATTTTCATGGTACCAGATATGGGTTATTGTTTAAATGCTTAGTATCTAGGTTTAATTCTGAGAGTGAAATCTGAGGAAGGAAAATTTTTCAAAAGGGCAACATGGTAAGTTTTCACTTCCAAAGATACTCATTGTCACAGTATTTATAATAGCCTGCTTATTCACTAAACTACACAGCCTGTGCATTACCGACCAGCCTAACTTGCCTAGGAACACTGCTTTGGGATACTTATCCTCACTTAAGTAAAGCACAATGCTTAGAATCCTTCATGCCTGACCTAAAGTCAAACATCTGATATCCTGAGACTTGACTCCAGCAAAATGTCTCTGGTACTTTCATA